GTATAATTTTGTAATAGACACTACTATACAAAATTATACATATCTTTCTTTCTTTCTTTCTCTCTAACTATTCTATTGCATATATTTATAAGCATACGGTATATCCATGTGTTCGCGTACGAAATTAACGATTATTAAATTATACCGACTCTGCTCTTTTAAATTATTAAATCGATAATTACAGACTTATACGTATTAACAACCTTAGAACAAACGACAATTTCGGATATATCCATATGCGTTTATCTGATTATCATATGAGTATTTGAATTCCATCGCCACCAGTGACTTCAAAATTTACTGTTTAGCTAATAATTAATGAAAAGATCGAAGCTCCTGGATCGAGATATCATGCGGTCCTTCAACAATCAAATATTCTACAAACGAAGCGCGTGCTTGGGCCGAAGTGCTTGCAAAGCTTGGTAACCACCCGAGTCCAAGGCCGCTCGGCTGTTAAAAGGGCCTACACTATAAGAAGCGAATGTACTTCGCACAAATACGCACTTAACATATACTCTCTACCATTATCATATCTTAATTTCTTTATGCATTTACTAAACCGATTTACTACTAAATTTACGAATTGAAATAAGCACTCAGCTGTTTTATTTTTACTTTTTATACAACATATTTTAGAACATTTGCTATAATCATCGATACAGCTAACAAAATATTTTTCTCCTTTATAACCAGGAGTTCTATGCGGCCCATTTAAATCTGTATGTATTACCTCTAATATTTCTTTTGCTATTGTACGCTTAATTTTGATAGATATATTAGTCATTTTACTTTGTTTACAATTCACACATTATATATAATCTTTTTGTAATTCATCTGGTAAACTTTCGACTAATTTAACATTAACTATTAGTTTATTAATATTATACTATAATAATAAAACATATTAGTTTATTAATTTTCAACTAGTTATTAGTTTATTATTCGTTATTTATTATTAACTAGTATTTAAATACCTAAAATTTATATGGCCAAGCGCTTAGTGCTATTTTTTTTTATGAGTTATCTTATCAGAGTTAGCATACATATTATTATCATTATTCCCATTCTCACCTACAATACAATTCATATTATACAGACCATTATTTTTTTTCGCTACCTCGATGAGTTGAGCCTCTATTGTATTCTATGAATGATCCTCTTCGTTGAGCCGTGATGTTGCTTTTGTTGACTGTGTCAGGAATCCTTTATTTGATGCCCAATTTTTCCACACTTGAAACTCTGATCTCAAGCTTTCACATTAAAAATAATTGTATTTAACTTATTTTTACTTTCATATACATTTAAGCTCTTTTCTTGAATTTTAGATTTTACTTGTTCTACTGTCCTTTGTATTTCGGGCACTGAATCCACAAAATCTTGAATATATGCTTAACTAGTTAGTAGAGCTTTTACAATATATCTTATTTTTTCTTCATATGTGAGTCAACCACCAGCCTTTTGCATTCATTACATACTTTTTTAAGGTCAATAGAGAATTCTTCAACTGTACTATAATTTTTTAATCTTATATTTGCGTTCATGTTGAGCGGGTAGCCCTGCAGACATACCAGCTGCCTCACCGTCTGCAATCGGTTTCTAATTTTTCTTTGTTACGGCGCTATTTGGTTGTGTATTTTGGAGCGCAGGATTAGTAGTGAAGGCGGATTATTGGGTAGCAGTCCTGCCTGCTATTCGTACGTCTTCGTGGGCGCGGATAGATTTTGTCGATCGTGTAACAAGCAGGAGCTTTCTTATTGTTATGTTTAAGTTGTTATCGTTAGTTAAATTTATTATTATTTTTGTTAAATATATTTATTGTTATTTCGATTAACGTTGATTGTCAATAATTCCGAGTTTTATTACTTCACATTGTTACTCCTCATTCCGTAAAATTTAATAACGCGCGTTTTGATCCCTTTAGCTCAGCGGAACATTCAGTCGTAAGAATGTTCGCGCTTCTCAAATCCCTACCTTAAATAATTTTGTATGGATGGCTGCGAGCTCTGAATTAGGAATGGCTGCGAAATTTTACTCCGCTATAATCTATATGGAATTGTAATCACTTCTGACGTCCTCGATATTTTATATGACCTTTTAGATGTAACAAATTTTATAATATAAGTGATATGTAACTAGATTTGATTTTTCATGAGAAATTGTACGTGAGAAAAATTTCGGTAAGACAAATGATAAGTTTGCTTTCAGCCGATAACAGATGCAGCTGTGTGGTGTTCGCTGAGGCCCTTTTGACGCGTATCCACCGTAATATGGATGACTTTCTACGTAAATTTATAACTTAATATGAAATATGGATACATCCCTCCACGGATGAGTCGAAGGAACAGTCAAAACAGAGGTTATTAAATATGACCAGGCTCCAAAGCAAACAAAGACAATTAACTCGGCCGGTAAGGTTATGGCCACTGTTTTTTAGACTGCACATGAAATCATTTTCATCAACTATTTAGAAAAAAGGACAAACAATCATTGGAAAATATTGTGCGTCGTTATTGTACGGATTAAATGAGGAAGTAAAGGAAAAACGTCCTCTTTTGAACAAAAAAAATTTCTATTTTATCAAGACAATGCACGACTATACGCATGCGCAATTTTGATGGTTGAAATCGACGAATTGAAGACCGAATTAGTGGACTATTTATCGTATTCACTAGATTTGGCCTTCCTGACTTTTTTTTTATTCCTAAACCTAAAAAAGTGGCTTGCCGAACAACGATTCATCTCGAACGAGAAGATTGTAACACAAACAAATGGCTATTTTAAAGAAAACTCAAAGGATATCTGGAAAAGTGTATCGAGCTAAAAGAAGATTAAGTTCAAAAATAAAAAATATCTACACATTAAAAATTGTTTTTATATTTTTTTCTAAGAATTTATTTATCCATCCTTGTACGCGATCCGAAAAATAACGAATATATGCCGATGTAACTTAAATACCATGAAACTTCAACAGCAGTGCGAACAAATACGATGGAATTTGAAATAACCTAAAAGATTTCAAAGTCAAAGTTGACTTTAGTATAATATGTTCCATTCAAAGTCCAGTAACTTTCGTCCGAAACATGTTTCACGAAACCGTATTTTTGTAGAATCGTTTGAATAAACAGTTAAAAAATAAATGACCTTGACATTTATCTTGGGGGTCCGATTACGAATTCATATATAACTTTGAGTGAACCTTTTAGAACCAAGTATCACTAGTCGCGAGCCTACGTGATCTTGCGTGGGGTCGACTCGCCCATCGGCCGACGCACGCGCGGTTACGTATGAGCGTCTTGTTATTTAGTCTAATACGAGTGCGGTCCGATAACTACTTAGCCTCACTGCCTGAGGGTGACACTATAGTAAAATAAATATACTATAGTGTAGTACCTTCCTGTAGACGATTACTGATGAAATTTCAGCCGGCTCAGACTTGTAGTTTTGTTTTGAGAGCGTGTGAAAGAAAGCGTATCCGTTGATTTAAAAAAAATAGAAAAGGAGCAATATTAGTCGTGATTCGATTCTTGTTTTTAGAAGGGAAATCACACAGAGAAATCAAAGTGCGCTTGGATGCAGTGTATGGGGACGCTTCTCCTTCGAAAGCAATCGTTAAAAATTGGTTCAACGAATTCCAACGTGGTTGCACGTCGGTTTTTGATGAGCCACGCTCAGGTGTCCCGAAAAGAGCAACCCCACAGGAGTACGTGACGTATGACCACGATCTCGTTTTAGCAGACCGAAGGTACACAAGATAGCTGAGAAAGTAGGCATCTCAAAAGACCGCGTGGCGCATATTCTACACGAAATTTTGAGTATTAGAAAGCTGTCGGCAAGATTTGTACCCTTTTTGCTCACTCCGGATGACAAGCGCAACCGTGTGACCACTTCAGAGCAATATTTGGCGCTATTGCAATCCGAACAAGTTTTTGTATCGTTACGTGGCCGTAGACGAAACATGGATTCACTGGTACACACCAGAGATCAACAAACAATCGAAACAGTGGACTTTACTCGGTGAACCTGCTCTGAAAAATGCGAAGACTATCTCAACCCATTGGCCGAAAAGGTGACGGCCACCGTTTTCTAGGATTTGCGAGGTATGATATACAATGACTACCTGGAGAAGGGCAAAACATTTTTAGGGCAATAATATGTCGAATTGTTGGGCCAATTCGATGCCGAATAAAAAGGAATGGCCCTCAAGCGAAGAAAACAGCGCTTTTCCACCATGATAAAGCACCGTCTTACATCTCCGTACTTTAGCCACGGCTAAATTAATCGAATTGGGCTACAAACTGCTGCCCCATCTACCATATTCTCCAGATTTGGCCCCGTGCGATTTCTTTTTGTTTCGCACTTCGAAAAAGTCACTTGCCGGACAGAAATTTCACTCGGATGAGGAAGTAATCGCCACCACAGAGGTCTACTATGCAGACCACGAGAAAACTTCTTTTTCTGACGGGTTAAGAAAATTAGAGCATTGCTGGCTCAAGTATATCGAACTGAAACGAGATTATAGTGAAAAATAAACTGCATTTTTTCCAAAATTGTTTTTTCATTTGTAGACTAAGTATTTATCAGACCCCCATCGTAGTCACCCCGTTACAACGTTTCATAATTTTTAAAGCTATTATATCAAGAGAAGTGTTGAAAAGACAGGAAAAAATATCAATTTTTTCAAATTTTTAGTCTGAAAACTCTAATGTCTTGTAGGTACGTAGTTCACTATAGACTTGTGCTTCATACAATGAATAAGTAAAAATATTATTAAATTGGTTTTAAAGCTCTGCATTCTCAATACAGGCGAAGGACAGTAATGTAAAATTTTTCAACGATTTGCCCATATATCAACTTCTATGATGGACATTTTGACAATAAATTTAAAAAATAGTTTTTAATGAATTTTCTAATTCTTGGACGTATAGTTATATATTACGGAATACAATTCATTTAATACAACTTTATTAAATAGTGAAAACACTATTTTTGTTCATACTTACGATCATCATCATGAGACATGCCAATATTATGTCCAATCATATGAGCCATTGTACCTGCTAAGAGGTGGGGTTCATAAATGTTCAAATCAACACTGATACCAAGCGATTTTTGACTACAAACGGTTTCTGGAACAGCTATACCAGCTTCACCTCCCACAAAATTCTCTCCCCTGAAATAATATATTTTATGAATAAATATTCAAAAAGTAATAAATCAAGATAAGGAAATTATCGTATAAAGAGTATTGAAGTTCTTTGAAATATTATTATTTAAATGTTCATCTTTCTTTTTAGATCATTATAATATTATAATGAATTATAGTTTTAGATAGATCATTATAATGAATCTTTTTCGAACATTATAATATGAATTCCTGAAACGGCCACACCTTAAATCTACCTAAATTGTATTTGAAATAACTAACTATTCTAATAAATAAGATTTATCAAGTTCGAAATAAAGAACATTTTACACATTTTAATAATTGCATACCAAGCCAATAAGATGGCGTGACCCAAAGTTACAAATGAAAAAACCAATAAAATCGTAATTAAACACTATTTGCATACTAATTTCATTATTATAGAATTACTGACTGTGATAACTTTAATTTATAGGATTTTCAAATTCAAGATTTTTATATCTTACAAATTATTGATATCATAAAAAATAGGGATTCATCCCAGTTCGCCCTGTTTACATAAAATATATATACTGCATGTATAAGAATATATATATATATATATTGCAACGATTACCGAAAATCGTTAGACTCGCGCGAGGTTAACGAGCGGCTAAACGAGAAGAGCCGCGTTCGGTTCGCGAGAGAGAGAGAGCGCGTAGGGGCAATGACCGGGAAGGGAGGCTCCGACCGGCAGTATGACTGTGCCACTCAGTCTATCAGCGTCGCGCTAACCTCCATTCTTCCTAGTTTTTCGTGCGTTTTTCCTGGTGACATTACGAACGTTGGTGCAGAGTGCTGAGTGCAGCAGCAGCAGCAGGGGTAGCAGCAGAAGGTGCAGCGGCAGCAGCAGCAGCAGGGGTAGCAGCAGAAGGTGAAGCGGCAGCAGCAGCAGCAGGGGTAGCAGCAGAAGGTGCAGCGGCAGCAGCAGCAGCAGGGGTAGCAGCAGAAGGTGCAGCGGCAGCAGCAGCAGCAACAGTAGTAGCAGTGACAACAGCAACAACAACAGCAGTAACAGTATTTGAGGCGGTGCAGCGAGCAGCGAAGCGGCGTTCCAACGATTTGCTAGTCGGATACGGTTGGCCACCGTATCCTCGTCGTTCTTGCGGTAGGTGCACCTTCCCCCTTTCATTTGTTGTTAATTTGCGTGCGATCCCGCGCAGCGAGCGCGAAGAATTCGTTTGTTGCGCGCGAGCGATTAGTTCGCGGCATCCGTGGTCTTCTCTCTCTCTCATTTTCAGCGTGTATTGTCATTCACGCGAGCGTGCGTAAGACTCTCGGCAGATTCCCCGTGTCATTGATTTTATTGAATAAATCAATCATTATTTTTATTTAAACGAGTTTCAGTTATTGTGTCTTTCCTTTGTCCGGAGGTCGCGTCAGTGTTTATTTACGTTCGATTCGAATTCGCCGGTAACGTAGCACGAAGCACGTGAATCGTTAGGTGGGAATCTTCAACTTAGGTTCCAGCGGCGGCCGCACGAGCGCTACTAGCAAGGGGCGACAGCGCCGCCAAGCGGTGAGTTGGGGGCACCCAACTCGGAATAGTGAAGAGACTCTGCGCAGGCGCACTCCAAGGCAAGGTAGGTTGCTGTGCTTCGAGCACAGAGATAACAAGGCTTCGTCTAGTCGTAATAAAGGCACTTTCAAGAGATTATCGACTAAATGGCAGCCTGTTACAATATATATATAGACGAAGAACTGTAGGTAACGTTCACGCCATCTACTGGACGACTACAATAACGTAAGTCCGCTGTGTTGACTGAAAAATGCGAAGTATGACGGCGCGCATGTATAAAATGACGCGAAAGAAAAGGCTGACGAGACAAATATATATATATATATATATATATATATATAGTAATATGTTTCAATCAGGCGTTCGGTTATAAAAGATGTATAAAAAATAAAAGTGGCGCGAAAGAGAGAGAGAGAGAGTATGCCAAGCCAGACGAAAGATAACGTACGCTTCTGCGTAGCTGCGTCAATAACAATCCTCGCGAAGACAAATTCGGCACTTTGTGTCTACCGCTGTATGATAGCGGAATATTACGTCATCATGTTTTGATATAGTACCACAGCTTGGAACAGTAAACAACAACACAAGGAAAATCCTCGATGTAACGATCCAGGGGACTATGATCACGGAAAAGTCGGTGACACTAGTTTGCGTCGATAAGGTCGTCCTCTCCTTAGCTGCAACTATTTCGTCAACCACGTGCATTGCCTTTCGAATACCCAAGCCCAATTGTTGATTTCATGGTCCTTAAATCAGTGCACACCTTGACTCAAACCTGAGGTGAATACGTCTGTCTCTTTCTCTATATCTCGCTCTTACATATGAAAGCCACGCTACGTACACGCACTTCTGTCTTCTCTCACTTACCTTTTGCTGGAACACAAATACATATAGTATAATATGGAATAATAATTATAGATATATTAATGAATCGATAATAGGGGCTATGGGGGAATCTTCCATACCAGCAGTCGATGAAGAAATCATCCTGGTGTACCGTTATTTTTTTTATCAGCCTCGGGTATACAGACGCTTTCTTCATCGACGTGTAATGGTAGTATCTCGGCTGGTCGCATATAGACATCGGCGTGTGTGTCGCCGCCCGATCAAAGTTCTGATGCTGCTTTACCATTCGTCTCCATGCCCCATGCCGTTGTACGTAAAAGTGACAAATAATGGGTGAAAAGAAAAACTTACTATTTAATTATGATCTGCATAACTCGTTGCTATGTATGTATATTTCAAAGGTTTCTGTTACTTTCTGTCTTCGACATTAATTTAATACTAAACCATTGGTTTGACACAAACTAGTGATGAAAAAATAAGTTTCATATATGTTTGAAAAATTTTTTTTATTAGTTAGTATTCATATTATATAATTTTTATAAGAAACCATACAAATTCCAAAAGACATCCCACAAAATATTTTAGTCTTATATTACTCTTTTCAATCCCAGCGCGCAATTTTTCATACTATTTAGAATTCTAGACGTATAGGTGATTCAATCTAGTAGGCAGAAATATATAAAATTCTGCTTCAAGCTCAAGAACAACTTTCTTACCGAACTTAGCCATCGCTTTTTTGATTGCAGTTATGATGTAAAGTACTTGGGTATCGTTTACTTATGGTAGGAAGATAGTCGGGTGTTTCTGCTGCTGCGTTGATAGCCTCCATGATTATGAAAAGAAACTGTAACAGGAAATTGAAATGTAATCAGATTTATGCCAGTCTAGTAACAATTTTTTCATAAGTATTACACAATTTATCTTCTAATGAATAATGTGTATATAAATTAGTGAAGATCCTATTCTGTGTGAATGCAGAAAAGTGAATTATGCCTCACCTCGTGGATCGTTTGTTTATAGAGCTCTCTAGTCAGTATTCACCGTCCCAACCTCTATGTACCCCAACTATAAGCCATTTTTTGAGGTTAGAAAATAAGAAAAGTCACTGGAAGCCAAATCAGGCGAATATGGTGTGTGGTCAATTAATTCGAACTTTAAATCGTTAATTTTTGCCATCGAAACTGCACACGTGTGAATTCGAGGATTGTCTTGAAGAAATAGGCACTTTTTTTGTTCAAGTGAGGACGTTTTTCTCTGATTTTTTCTTTCAAATAACCTACTAATGACGCATAATATTATCCAGTGATCGTCTGGCCCTTTTCCAAGTAGTCGATGTAGATGATTCCATACGCATCCCAGAAAACCGTGGCCATAATCTTGCCAGCTGACTTTACTGTCTTTGCCTTCTTTGGGGCTGGCTCTCCAGCGGTAATCCATTGTTTGGACTGTTTTTTGGTTTCAGGAGTGTACTGGTGTACCCATGTTTCGTCTACAGTTACGAGTCGACGCCAAAAGTCTTCCGGATTACGACGCACACTGTGGTATTATATTAAAACAACAAAAAATTATATTCAAAATGAAATATCTCAACTTAGAATTGACCAATTTTGATAAAATCGATTTCAATGTAAAGCTCATTACTTATAGAATACAGGAAAACCTACAACGAGTGTCGAAATAGATTTCCTATCCTTCAAAAAGTTCGTGGAAATGCAAAATTTTTTGAGGCTGTAGATCTTTAGAGTAAAAATTAAAAATAATTGTTTTTAATAAGAAAATACAAGTTTAAAGATAATTTACTGAATAAATAGAAGTTGAAATTCATCAAATGTCAGGTAATAACAAATTCTTGGTGGTAAAGTTGTATTTAAACATGAAAATTCTGTTTGGCCGATAGTTGAAAAGTATTTAATAAGCCACACAAAAGAAATAACAGTATTAAACTTTTAATTATACTTATGGGGGTTTAAAGTACTTAAAAATTCTATAAAAATATATGATGCCAAGATTCCAAGTGATAAATCATTTGTTTAAACAATGTTTTCAACAAAAATTGTGTGAAGGTAAACTTTAGGCTTTGAAAAAAATATTGTTAGATTTCTTTGACTATTTTGAATAAAAAAGTTATTATCAAATTTCATGTAAAATGCATTGTTTTCTATTTAAAAATACCCAATGTTCAAAAAATATAATTTTTATCTTTTTTAGGATTTTCATACTCATAGGGATTTACTTCATTGATGACTTCTGAAAATCTGTATTTACTATTTCATGAACTACAGATAAAACTGATATTTAATGTAAAAAATTAGCTATATTAATTTTTGTAACTCATGTTTAGCTTTTACGATAGTAAATTTGTAATCGTCGATATAAATAAACTGATAAAAGCAATGCATGCAAACGCAAAATTTAAGTTGCATAAAAGTAGCTTTGCAAAAGAACTTGCTTGATAACTAATTGTCAGCTGAAGTGATATTTTTTAAACTTTACGACTTTTGAAACTTTCGCAAAATACATCATCTTATAAGTGACTGGAAAACTATAATAACCTGAGAATTTTCTAGTGTGTATGAAGTAAGTTTGTGTTTTACAACTTTAAAAAAAGCTAAGTGATATAAAT